AAAAAAACTACAACGTTCCACCTTTAAATACATTAGTAACCACATGAAAGTCCAAAGTGAAATTATATGGAACAACACATATGTACGCTTCAAACACATTAGTACAAAAAAACATAACAACATCGAACTTTTAAACCTAGCTATCTCTCTAATAGATATCATTAAATTTATGAGACTCCGAATAGGACACACTAAACTGACACCTATTTGAAAAAACACCTCCACCCACATGACAACAATGTAACCTTAACCTTACCCTATCACACATGTTCCTAGAATTCCCTACCTACATTAAACACAGGCGTAAATTCCTCCGAAAAACTGTAAAAGAAACAGTAGATTCCATCAATATATTCACAACTGTCCAATTCCTTAAATCCATAAACCTTTACAATAACATATAAGTTTAACCTTACTGTACATAACTAGAACCAGAACACACATAGATATATATATATATATATAGACTTGTTAGCATACCTGTAAATACCTGGTTAAGTTAAAAAAGTTATTATTGATACAAATCTCATATTACGTACTATATCTATTCATTATTGTTACACAACACATATTACATAATATAATATAGATTTGAAGCAGAAGGCCATTCTATTTTTTACGTGAGGCGCCCACTATGAATAAAAGCTGACGCTAAACTATATAACACACGCTAAACTATATAAAATTTCTATTCGCCTCCGTTCCTCGAAAATTTTCTATCGGTTTCCGGTTGTCTGCGCCGCGATTTTCCTCGCCGTTTCTTCCGTTGCCCGTTTCCCATCAACTTGCCAACGGTCGAGGCCTATGTACACCTGCATACACACACACACACGAATGCTTATTTAGAGGGACACCCTGGAGGAGGTAGCAGGAGCAGAGATCAGGGTGCATACGCTGGTGCCGCTTATGATCGAGACTCCCAGGATGTGGGAAACGACAGCGGCTTTTTCTGCCAAGGTACTGAAGGCTCTTAGAGTGCTGGAGAGGGGTAGAAGGGAGCGGACGGGCTAAGAGGCCTACAATTCTGCGAAGCATTGCTTTGCGGCCGTACCGCACAATATGGGTCCATGCCCCGTTCCTCGTTATAAGAATTTATGTTAATTTAGGTGTTTTTTCCAATCTAACATAACATGAATAAAGTCGAATATAAAAAAAAAAAAACACGAATGCTAATTATTTGCACATCATAATTCCGTGCATTAAAATCCTCACCGTGAACAGTCAAATTGTGTTTCGGGAAAAAGGGGCATAATAAATATCGGACAGCCGGTGTGCACTTGTTTCGGGAGTTCACATTGTTTGCCGAACAGTCCGCCGCTGCCACGATATTTTTTTTTGTCGTCTTTTTTCCGTGTCCATACAACATATTTCTGTTCGCGGAATTTAATACAGTCCACTTCTCGACGCTTCAGTGTGCCCTGACACATTGTTCCTATTTACATGCATGCCCATATATTTTCCTATATATTTTCTGCCAACGATTCCAGGAACTAATCCCGATAAGGAAATTTAAAAAAAATGCAAGGTGAAAGAAACAATTAGCAACAAAACCCAAACGCAAACGCAAGTGTTTGAATTGTTTTTAATTTTGATGCCGCAGAGGCCATGTTGTTGTTGTTGTTGCTTCCTCGCGACTAAGTACCGAGCTTTTAAGTCCAGCTCTTCGGCTCGGAACGATTCAACATTTGCAGCTTGCAGTTGATGACATTAATATTTGTTAGACAAGTACCAGCTTAACCAACCTAAAAATTCAACCCACCCAGATGCGACTGCGCTTGTTCTGTTTATTTATTTTTGTATCCACATCGCCGCCGCAGAGGCCGTGCATGTTGTTATTGCCGCTTAATTTTTTGCGAGCGAGCTTTTCTCCGAGACCAAGAACCGAGCCTTTAAGTCCAGCTCCTCGCCGTGGAACAATTAAACACCTGCACCTTGTGATTGCTGACATTCAAATTGTTAGACAAGTCCTAGTATCACCAGCATCCAAATTCAATCCCCACAGCGAGTCGATCAACAATTAGCCGCCAGGGCTCAAATATAACCGGTCTCCACAACCAAGCCCGCGATAAAATCCCCATCTCAATAATTAACAATAAATACGTATCTACGCTCAGTACACCCATTCGGATGCTTTTTGGCTCCATTTGTATCCTCTAGCCTTCAGTGAGCTCTATTCCGCTTGTTCGTCGTACGCATTGCCTAAACCCGTATCCCGAGTTCCATATAAATTTCGTCCGTCATATCTCCTTTTTTTTTGCTGATCCGCCTAGATTAACTCGGTTAACTGTCAAAATGGCGCAAAATGCGATAGATTTCGCTCTCAAACGGTTTATTGCCACTACTGACCGTGTCAGTCTATTCGAGGCGAATATCCACACTCCGGGCACCCCGGGGACTGAACAATTCTCCCCCCTCATGTGTCAAGTAAATAGGAACCGAATCCGGGCCCTGTGGGAAAAGGTGGAAAAAAGTTATGAGAGGGAGCTCGGTTTTAAGTTAAGTTCCAGTCTCTCTCTAAGCAGCGAATAAAAGCTGACGCTGAACTATATACCACGACGCCCCCGCCTTTGTATTTTCAACCCTGACGGGTTAGCTATTACTTAAAACAAAGCAAAAATTGGATACACTTTATAATTGCTGATAATTTCTTTATAATACTAATAATAATAATACAGTCCACATCATTCATAAACATTTTGGTCCGTTCGAGAAGCCTTAAAACCCCAATTGTTTACGAATTTATTTTGAGAATAATAAATTAAAAATTGGCAGCTTTACATAATAAACACGATTATGCATCGGACGATTCTACAATGTGGTGCCTGCAGTTTTTGCAGAGATGTGAAAACATGGAAACATTGCAACTAATGTTGAATCGTTTAGTAGCCACTTGCAACCACTTTCTGGAACTCTCTGATGACTTAGTGGCTTTCAACATGGTGGAGGGAAATGAATGGTTTGGATATACCCGAATACTTGGACAACTTCAACAGCGCGCACTCTACTTATAGAAAAGCCATTAATGAGATGGGAGGTTACGATCATGGACGAGACCAGTATAATATTTCACTCTTAAGTACAATGGAACGTATATTCGAGGGACAAAACCAACTTTTGCCGACAAACTTGGCCAACTATGGTATGTCGGCCACGGAAGGCGTCACCATACTTGATTTATTCACATTTTTTTCCGCTTATTGTGATACTTTGGAGTCGTTTGAGTATTTACACGCAACCCTCAATACCAGCCCTGAGTTAACGCCGCCAAATCCCCTATCATGTAAGTGGATCAAATCAGAAGTCATGCTAATGTATACTTTGTTAAGGACATCACAATATATATTTATGTGCCGAATTCAAAGCCCTGTATGTCTTAGACTGCCAAGGATGCTAAGCATTATTTCAATTGCCTAAGTCGATCGCATCAAGTCAGGGATTGGAACTCTTTGAACATTTGCGGTCAGTGCAAAGCTAAGCATCACCCTTTAGTCCACCTGACTGAGTCATGATTGTTTTTTTTTTTTTTTTAACTACTCATCTGTCTGCTGCTATATGGAACAAAATACGCAGCATTCCAATTGGCGCATCCAACGTTTGGAGCTCCGGAAAAATTCAACGTTATTCTGGGCGCTGATCAACTATGCAACATATATACTGGAAATCGACGAGACTTTGTTATTGAATACCCCATCGCAATACATACTAATTTTGGGTTATTACAGGTAGCTATAATGACCACCACGCTTCCGAAGATTTTCATTCTTTAATTCATTGATGTGGAACAACTTTATCCAAGTAAAACAAAGATTGACGGCAGTGATCCTGCACAACAACACTTTCTTGCAACGCAAGGTGTATACATTGTTTAATACCCATTCAAGGAGCCCATCCCGTCAATTGGCTCTACGTTTCCACAAGTTGCATTCCGCTTCGCCGCCTTGGAACGGCAATTTTCAAAATTCCCTTCAATAGTATATCGACTTCATGGATTATTATTTGAAAAGAGGACACATGAAAATGATACCTGCTGCTGCAGAGTATGGGGATCCCGCACGCTGCAACTACTTGGGCCACCATGCAAAATCATAACTGACGGCTCCGGAAAGGATTCGAAGGGTCATTCGCTTGATTCGCGACTGCACATAGGCCCACCTATTTAAAGGAATTTAATTGGAATATGCCTACGGTTCCGTCAGCATTTTTATATATGCGTTGGACTCAATTGCAGACCGAGGTTCAAGGGTTGTGGAAACGCTAGAATTTAGAGTATCTCAGTACTCTTCAAGCTCGACCGAAAAGGTCACAAGATGCTAAAAATTTTGCAATGAACACCCTTGTTGTATTTAAGGAGTCTAATCAACCGCCAAGCAAGTGGGTGTTGGGACGGGTTAGGATCAGGATCCGTGTAAAAACCGCCATCAGAGTCTACTAGCACCCCATTACGAGAATTGCAGTGCTTTCTTCGAAGTGAACCGGCGTTAAGGGGGTCTAGTGTTTAGAAATATATTAGTAGCTTAAATTGAATATTATCAATCATATAATCGTACCTAGTTTAATGATCATTGGTGTCTTGTTTACAAGATAAAATCTTTAAGATCGCATGCATAGCCGAAAATGCAGCATGTATGCGTAAGTATAAGTACATCACGCGATCTTCTTATCTATAACATTATTTTTACCGATATTTTCAATTTTTCAGTCGTATAGGGAATCTCCTAAGTATTTTTGTTATCGTTTAACTTATTTTTTCGCTGATCTTGAACGATGTTATCGTACCCAAGCACCCAATTTTTAAGTATAGAAGCTAAAATTGGTTGCATTTATAAATTTAACCAAGCTTTCTTGTCTATTAACTTTCGAGGTTGGCCTTTACCGGTGCTTCAAGTATTATGAAATACCAATATATTAACAACAAGAAGTTTTTATAACTACTTTGTCTTTTAGAAGTTATCTTTTTTAATATTGAATTAATTTATTATTTATCTTTTATTTCATTGCAGGCTTTTCATATAGCAACGCTTATAAGGGAATATTCAGCAGTATCAAAAGCCACAAAATAATTTAAGCCTCAAACACGAATCCTGAAGTGTAAAAACCATTTAACAATAAAAATATTTATCATGACACATGTATTATATGACCTTCATTCGTCAAGCTCTTAAAAAAACATATTATTTATTGATATGTAGGTGGAAGCGAAAAAGAAGTGTCAGAAAAAAGTTACTGTAGAATGTAATCATAACTACACAGCCGCACAAAAATAAGACCCACCTATCTATCCACCTAATCTTAATCTGCTTGTACGGATAATAATAATAAGCTCAATGTTTTTGGTACATAAGCTGCAATTATTTAGTATTTTGATAATAATATAAAAAATGATAGATTCTCGAAATAGCGTACGTTCCTTCTGTAGTCCTTCCCTAGGACGCAACCGTCCTAAAACGGAAATGCCTCCTTTTCAGGCCGCTATGGTTAAAGCGACCAATTGACGGAAAGATGAATTGGTGAAAATAGCGAAGGACCCCAAAAACATACGAGGAAGACGATTAAAAATATTAGAACGAATGAAAACGCCGATGGAGCTGATTGAAAACACCAAGAAACAAGAAAGGAAGCTTACTTTGGCAGGCAGTTTGTATACCCTTGCAGATAGATCTTCGATGACTAGGAATCAATTTAATATAAATTTTATATATATATTTTAAAAAACAATGAAGTAATACCTGCTCTCATTTCATTCACCTATAAAGCACCTATTATGATAAATGATATAGTCGTCCGATTTTCATAAAATTGTACACAAAATTGTAGAATAATATAAAATGGCTACATCTTAAATTTAATTATTCTGTTGAAAACGGAAAATGTTATCTTTTCCTTTCCTATAGCACCTATATGATATAGTCGTGCAATCCGGCCCGTTCCGACATATATATGAATGAGAGTATACAGAGACTAACTACAAAGTTTCATTCAGATAGCTTCAAAACTCAGAGACTAATTTGCGTAGAAACGGACAGGCGGACATCGCTAGATCGACTCGGCTGTTGATGCTGATCAAGAATATATAAAATTTATACGGTCGGAAATGTCTTAATCACTGCGTTGCAAACTTCTGATTGAAATTATAATACCCTGCAAGGGTAAATGCTAATTAAAGTTTTTCTAAATACGCTGTTATGGCTTTTTTTATGTGTAAGGAAATCACAAGGCAAACACGGTAAAGCTTTACGCAGAACTAGTGTAAAATCTTCCCCACCATTAAGGGCACTCCAAAAGTCTTCCAATTGTGCGGTACTCTGCTGAAGATCACAGAGTGTACAAGGGGATATCAATACGCTTATCAAATGTGGCATTGGATTTTCCTCTGCATTCGCATTGTACATCTTTCGGTTTTCCCTTTGCTCATCCACTTGCCAACGGTCGAGGCCTATACACACACAAGCATTCTAAACTTGTGCACATATTCCCGTACAGAAAAAAAAGTTCTCAGTGAACAGTGAAATTGTGTAACGAAAAAAAAGGCATAATTAATATCGGCCAGCCGGTATGCGCTTGTTGCGGGAATTCACCCTGCTCGCCGAAGAGTGCGCCGCTGTCACGATATTTTCGCTAATTTTTGTGCTATATCCATACACATTTTTTCTGTTCCCGCAATTCAATACAGTCCACTTCTCGACGCTCCACTGTGCCAATACAAACCCTACATATTTACATACCTACAGACATACAAAGGTATTCAAAAGTATTTACACTTCGACCATTGTCATAGCCAAATTTCTTTTAGTTCTTATTTTTGTTGTTGTTGACCGTATTCCCTGAAATTTTCTTTATTGCGTAGATTGATCTATGCAGAGGCGAGCCAAAAAGGAATTCAAAAGTTAACGGTTCATAGAAAATACAATAAGTAAAAGAATAGATGCACCTACAGTGTAATATTTAAACATGATTTGTTTTCGTCTTAATTTTAATGCTATTAAAATTTAAAAAATTTCATGGAAATCGGTCAACAAAAACCAGAATAATAAAAAAAATAAGTTTGGCGGTGAAAATAATTGTGAATTTGTGTAAATACTTTTGACTACCCCAGTATATTAAGCAAGCTTCGCGCTATTCTGCGCTGAGCATCGATCTCCAAGCTATTACATACATATAGACACAAGCCCGCATAAGGGCATATCAAGTAATTAATTGTCTTTTTTTTCGTCTCCTCTTTGTGCTTTGTGGGACGGGTTAGGATCAGGATCCGTGTAAAAACCGCCATCAGAGTCTACTAGCACCCCATTACGAGAATTGCAGTGCTTTCTTCGAAGTGAACCGGCGTTAAGGGGGTTTAGTGTTTAGAAATATATTAGTAGCTTAAATTGAATATTATCAATCATATAATCGTACCTAGTTTAATGATCATTGGTGTCTTGTTTACAAGATAAAATCTTTAAGATCGCATGCATAGCCGAAAATGCAGCATGTATGCGTAAGTATAAGTACATCACGCGATCTTCTTATCTATAACATTATTTTTACCGATATTTTCAATTTTTCAGTCGTATAGGGAATCTCCTAAGTATTTTTGTTATCGTTTAACTTATTTTTTCGCTGATCTTGAACGATGTTATCGTACCCAAGCACCCAATTTTTAAGTATAGAAGCTAAAATTGGTTGCATTTATAAATTTAACCAAGCTTTCTTGTCTATTAACTTTCGAGGTTGGCCTTTACCGGTGCTTCAAGTATTATGAAATACCAATATATTAACAACAAGAAGTTTTTATAACTACTTTGTCTTTTAGAAGTTATCTTTTTAATATTGAATTAATTTATTATTTATCTTTTATTTCATTGCAGGCTTTTCATATAGCAACGCTTATAAGGGAATATTCAGCAGTATCAAAAGCCACAAAATAATTTAAGCCTCAAACACGAATCCTGAAGTGTAAAAACCATTTAACAATAAAAATATTTATCATGACACATGTATTATATGACCTTCATTCGTTAAGCTCTTAAAAAACATATTATTTATTGATATGTAGGTGGAAGCGAAAAAGAAGTGTCAGAAAAAAGTTACTGTAGAATGTAATCATAACTACACAGCCGCACAAAAATAAGACCCACATATCTATCCACCTAATCTTAATCTGCTTGTACGGATAATAATAATAAGCTCAATGTTTTTGGTACATAAGCTGCAATTATTTAGTATTTTGATAATAATATAAAAAATGATAGATTCTCGAAATAGCGTACGTTCCTTCTGTAGTCCTTCCTTAGGTCCTAAAACGGAAATGCCTCCTTTTCAGGCCGCTATGGTTAAAGCGACCAATTGACGGAAAGATGAATTGGTGAAAATAGCGAAGGACCCCAAAAACATACGAGGAAGACGATTAAAAATATTAGAACGAATGAAAACGCCGATGGAGCTGATTGAAAACACCAAGAAACAAGAAAGGAAGCTTACTTTGGCAGGCAGTTTGTATACCCTTGCAGATAGATCTTCGATGACTAGGAATCAATTTAATATAAATTTTATATATATATTTTAAAAAACAATGAAGTAATACCTGCTCTCATTTCATTCACCTATAAAGCACCTATTATGATAAATGATATAGTCGTCCGATTTTCATAAAATTGTACACAAAATTGTAGAATAATATAAAATGGCTACATCTTAAATTTAATTATTCTGTTGAAAACGGAAAATGTTATCTTTTCCTTTCCTATAGCACCTATATGATATAGTCGTCCAATCCGGCCCGTTCCGACATATATATGAATGAGAGTATACAGAGACTAACTACAAAGTTTCATTCAGATAGCTTCAAAACTCAGAGACTAATTTGCGTAGAAACGGACAGGCGGACATCGCTAGATCGACTCGGCTGTTGATGCTGATCAAGAATATATAAAATTTATACGGTCGGAAATGTCTTAATCACTGCGTTGCAAACTTCTGATTGAAATTATAATACCCTGCAAGGGTAAATGCTAATTAAAGTTTTTCTAAATACGCTGTTATGGCTTTTTTTATGTGTAAGGAAATCACAAGGCAAACACGGTAAAGCTTTACGCAGAACTAGTGTAAAATCTTCCCCACCATTAAGGGCACTCCAAAAGTCTTCCAATTGTGCGGTACTCTGCTGAAGATCACAGAGTGTACAAGGGGATATCAATACGCTTATCAAATGTGGCATTGGATTTTCCTCTGCATTCGCATTGTACATCTTTCGGTTTTCCCTTTGCTCATCCACTTGCCAACGGTCGAGGCCTATACACACACAAGCATTCTAAACTTGTGCACATACATATTTCCGTACAGAAAAAAAAGTTCTCAGTGAACAGTGAAATTGTGTAACGAAAAAAAAGGCATAATTAATATCGGCCAGTCGGTATGCGCTTGTTGCGGGAATTCACCCTGCTCGCCGAAGAGTGCGCCGCTGTCACGATATTTTCGCTAATTTTTGTGCTATATCCATACACATTTTTTCTGTTCCCGCAATTCAATACAGTCCACTTCTCGACGCTCCACTGTGCCAATACAAACCCTACATATTTACATACCTACATACATACAAAGGTATTCAAAAGTATTTACACTTCGACCATTGTCATAGCCAAATTTCTTTTAGTTCTTATTTTTGTTGTTGTTGACCGTATTCCCTGAAATTTTCTTTATTGCGTAGATTGATCTATGCAGAGGCGAGCCAAAAAGGAATTCAAAAGTTAACGGTTCATAGAAAAGTACTATAAGTAAAAGAATAGATGCACCTACAGTGTAATATTTAAACATGATTTGTTTTCGTCTTAATTTTAATGCTATTAAAATTTAAAAAATTTCATGGAAATCGGTCAACAAAAACCAAAATAATAACAAAAATAAGTTTGGCGGTGAAAATAATTGTGAATTTGTGTAAATACTTTTGACTACCCCCGTATATTAAGTAAGCTTCGCGCTATTCTGCGCTGAGCATCGATCTCCAAGCTATTACATACATATAGACACAAGCCCGCATAAGGGCATATCAAGTAATTAATTGTCTTTTTTTTTTCGTCTCCTCTTTGTGCCAGAGCGTGTACAAGCACCTGCACTTACACATTTCACAGCTGAACAGTGCCGACGAGACAAAATCCGCCACCTATTACTTTAAGGAAATTTCGTGTACCAAGAATTTAAAATTATCCGAATTTTATTTATCCTATTTTCATTTATATCAAAGAAATACCAATTTACACACATACATCCATACATTGGGCAAGCTTTGCGCTATTCTGCGCTGAGCATCGATTTCCACAATCTACATACATATGTTATGTACATATGTATATTGGGCAAGTTTCGCACTATTCTGAGCTGTGCAGCCAAACTGCCTTTAATTTAGCCGCCGCAACGGCCGTGTTGTTGTTGCCCTTTAGTTTTTTGGGTCCCTCACTCACCACTGCTTTGTCGACGGCTTATCTCAGTGAGCTTTTCTCTGCGACCAAATACGGATGTTTTTTTTTTTTTAATCTCACCTTCCCGGCGTTTAAATAATGAAACATCTGCGGCTCATAACTTTAAAAACTAACAAATAGTTTAACATCCATCAATAGATCCATAATTTGAATTTGATTAATTAATTTAAGTTAATTAATGTTTAATTCAATCTTTTCAACTGAGCCGCCGCAACGGCCGTGTAGTTCTTGCCGCTTGGTTGTTTTGAGTCCAGCACATATGCACTGCTTTGCCGAGGACAAAGTTGAGTTTTTCTCTCAAACAAAAGCCAAGGGTTTATTTCGACCATTTCGAATCCGTGATTAATAAATTTGACAACAATTAATTACTTCCGACCAATAATCCGAATACGGGTTCTATCCACAACTCGTGACCAATTTTCTGAGCTAAATATTACCAAACCTCCACGTCCGAGTTACGTAATACACACCAAATATTAAATGAAAAATACAAAGATTTTAATTCGCAAATTCACTACTATTCAATATTAGCCCGAACTACCACCCATAATATATATATATATATATATATTCGAACTACCACATATATATATATATATATATATATATATATATATATATATTCTAAAATACAAAAGAATTTTAATTTCAAATTAAAAAATTATTCCCATATTTTAACCACGGCCGATTCCGTCAATCCGTTTGGGAAGATCCCAGGCCGCATCTCCGCGACCCTCTCCGCTTAAATTAAAGTCTACCGCTGTCCGCTCAAGAGCAAACAGCTTTAAATACTTGCCCAGGTCCATCGTCAAGGCCCACTCGGTCGACCAGAAAAATGGCTCAAATCGCCATCGACATTGCGTTGAGGAAGATTATTGCCACGACAGACCGTGTGAGTCAATTTGAGGCAAAGATCCACACTTTGGGCGCCCCAGAAACCACCCAGCCCTCTTCTTACACGTGTCAAATGCGTCGCGACCACATTCGGGCACTGTGGGAAAAGGTGAATTGGTATTACGATAGTTGTTCTGAACTTATATCGGCATCCGGTGAGAGTACCACCATCGGGCTGACGCTCCAGTCCAGATATGAGCATTGTTTTTCGGTCTACGAAAGATGTTTTGCCGACCGCCAAGAGTTGATGGTAAAGGGCGCTTCTCAGTCCGTGGCGGTTAACCCAAACACCCGAAGTCGGCGGGTTGTCGTCTGCCACCGGTGGACACAGAAATTTTCGCTGGTGACTGTCTTCGGTGGCCCTCGTTCAGAAAACTTTTCACTGCGATATATGTTCACAATTTGAGTCTCACCCCACTTACTATCCAAAACAAGTGACTATGCGCACGCCATTGTTTCCAAAGCCCCGCTCACCAATGAGGGGTTCGTCACAGCTCAGAAGCCTCACCGACGGCTTCGAGAACCGGAGGTTGTTGGCCAACAACCAGTTAAAAATCCTTTTCAACATTCAGGCTATCCCCCAAGAGTCCGGAAGCGCGCTAAGGGAACTGCAAGGCACTATCCAGAGTTGTCTAGCGGCATTAGAGATGACCGTCATTCAGCTCGAAGCCTGGGACTGCCTCCTGGTGTATAGGGTTTCCTCAAAGCTTCCCAAGCTCACGCTCTCCATGTGGGAGCAATCTATCCACAATAAGGACAAAATTCCAACTCGTACGCTGGAGGCCATCGACGACGTTACGCCTACCAGCTCAAGGCATTTTCAGCCAAAGTTGGCGACTCCGAGGGCCCCAGCCCTCCCCCATTCTTCCGACTTCAGGGTTACACCAACTCCCAGAAGGTGTAACCTGTGTTCCAGGGAAAACCACCCCCTACATAGATGTCCCCGTTTCCTCAAAATGACCGTAGTCGAACGATCAAATATCGTCCAAAGAAAGCAACTCTGCTTGAATTGTTTGGCACGAGGCCATCAGCAGCGGGATTGCTCCTGAGCCCACTCCTGCCTTACATGCCGCAGACGGCATCACACCCTGCTGCATCCCAGAAACAGTACCTCCAGTGTTCTGATTGCTCCTGAACCTTCCAGCTCAGTAACCGCACCGATCCAAAGGATATCCGCGTTCTCCACGCGAATCAGCACTCCCAACGCGTTCAATTATTAAGTACCCTACGACATCAAGAGCAGACGTTCCCGAGGTATTTTATCCTACCCATGCCGAGTCTGCAGCGGAATCCATCCGCTTCGAAAATGCCAAAAGTTCCTCAGGCTTAGTGCTGAGAAGATAGTCAGCGCGGTGTCCACCAACCGCTACTGTTCTAACTGTTGCAACTGATGCAAGACGTGCAATCAGCATCCCCATACGCTCCTGCATATGCCTGGAAGTCCAGTTTCCGCACCCCGATCGCAGCATCGGATGACTCCGTGCTCCCGCGTTATTTACTTACTGCTCTTCTAAACGATATATTTTTCCAGTCCGCTTCGAGAAGATGCCACCGCTTCGCACCACGCGAACGCTCTGATCAGGGGTCCAATACAACCAATGCAGGTTGCCCCCGAACTTCATTCG